CCGCAATTTAAGAAAAATCAGACTAGAGACACTCATCATTATTCACCACGCTTTTAATGAAATCCTTACACTAAAACCAATCACTGATCAGAAGTGTACTCACACAGCCCTCCAGCAGGTCAGGGGCCCCCAGGACAGAAGTCTGTGCCCACTCACTCTTGTGCTTGCCCTGGAAGTGAGCAGGCGATCATGAACTTATTAAATCACTGCCCAGCCATTTCCACTCCGAGAAGGGCTATGACATCCTCTTCCCCTCGACTGCTGTTGGCCATTACTCATCATGTAATTCAAGGTCTATTTCCAAACCACAGAACACCTAATGATGAACTACAGGGAGCCACTATGCCCAACACAGATTTTACTTCAGATGTTAGAGAACTCTGTACTTATTACCATTTCCTCCTATAAAATAGGAGGGGAGTTCCTGGGCCACAAGTGTAAATAAAGCACAATCACCAGATATTAAGCTTCCAGAGACAGCAGGCTGCTTGCTGCATTCACCGTTACACTCCTGAAGCCTAAGGTAGCCGCTAGCTTACGGGAAGGTGCTCAGCAAGTATTTGCTGAATGAATGAAACCTCTTGTTCTCAAAGTGCCAGTGTCTACAGTTTATAAACAGGTAAGTGACAAATGCAAATACTGTTTAGTCAATGTGATAAGGAACATATGACAGAGGAGGGACAAAATGCTAAAAATGCCCCAAAAAAGTCTATTCTGTTCACAAAATCAGCAGACTTCCCATTCTCAAGCTTATGACCACTTCCTATAGGATGGTAAGAAAAACAGCTACCATCTACTGAGTTCTTCCTGGGTACCTGCCATTTTATAGATGTTACTGCATTTACTCCTTGTAACAGTCCTGGGGTGTAGAAGAGAAAACTGAGACTCAGAATGATTATAGAGTCCATAAGGGCACTGGTGCAGGATCTGTCTTTGGGGGATAGCATAATGAAAGTGGCTCTCTAGGTGGAATACTCCGGTCCTTGCGGGCAGGATGGATAAGGGTTGATGAAATCGGAGAGCAATGAGGAAGCTAGCATACCATGATCAATTCCGGGGGGTCATAAGTGGCTAAAATAATGTAGGCGATGACTGGGAGCCAAAGGGAGGAAGGAACCAATTCCAGAGAAAAGTCCAAGAAAGACCCAGTGGAATGGCCGACAGATGAGAGATGGGAAGAAGGTAAACACTCAGGATCACTAGTGATTCTGATTAGCATTGGTACCCACAGAATAAGAAAAAAAGTATTCACCTTACCCAGGGATAAAAACATCTAACCTCGAGTGCACACAACTGTTTTTTGGTTTTGGGGTGGGTTTGTTTGTTTTAAACAAATGCTCTCTTTTTGAAGACTCATGATCTCTCCCAGAAGTAGAGACTATTATCACCTCTGTTACAGAAGGGGAACTGGTGCCTCAGGGAGTTCGAGCTTGGCTAGTGCTCCCTCGGCTAGGAAATGGGAAGGGCCAGAATACGATCCAAGACACTTGATGCAAGAGCCCCAGCCGCTGACCACTATCCACAAGTGGCTGAAGGTGCCATTCTAGAACATTTAAAATTAGAACTAACAGAAATTCGATTCACACATAATTAATAAAAACCAGGTAATATATAGGAAGTGGACTGCCTGCAGGCTTTAAAGTAGGATTCAAACTCTGCATGCTTTTCCTTGTAAAGTTGGACATATTATTCTGTGTGTCGAGTTAACATGCACCATTTCTGAGTTTTACCCTGATGAAGTTTTTAAAAATGTGAATGATCCTGACTTGTCAACTTAGAGATAATCACAGAATTCATTAGTTATATTACATTTTCACCAAGGGGAGGAAATCTAGGTTAATCCACCTGGCTATAAAAATAGACTCCTGCAACATTAAAATAGTACACTGCCTCATTATTATTCTAGTCTCAAAGGCTTAACCAAAATCAGCAAGAGAGATGTGTATTTTTCCTGTTATCGCAACCAGGTATCAATTTTGAACTTAATAAATGACCATTCAGTAACCAAGAATTTGACTTCTTGGGAGTCTTAGCCCCTTCCTTCGAGGAAACTGTGTGTCTCTGAAAGGTGAACTCAACTTATCCAATGCATCTTTAGTTCTCATCAGAGTATTTTTAGGTGAGCCCACAAGAGGGTCCTTTTACAATCCTATACTAGATGGTTTATTGCCAAAGGGACAGTGACATCAAGAAATTAAACCCTAGGGGCGCCTGGGTGGCTCAGTGGGTTAAAGCCTCTGCCTTCGGCTTGGGTCATGATCCCAGGGTCCTGGGATGGAGCCCCACATCGGGCTGCCTGCTCAGAAGGGAGCCTACTTCCTCCTCTCTCTCTCTCTCTCTGCCTGCCTCTCTACTTGTGATCTCTGTCAAATAAATAAATAAAATCTTAAAAAAAAAAAGAAATTAAACCCTAATACTGCCTGATGTTCTCCTATATCACATGTTTTCTCAGTGTAGAAAAAAGCACGTCTTTATAGCTAAATCTAAAACAGTTCCACAAAATAGGAGGTAGAATCATCTGAAAGCAGAAATACTTTCTGCACAGGAAAAATTGTTGGTAGTTTCCCTTCATTACAGCACGGAAGGGAAGCCTCAAGGACAGACTCAAAATTACATCGGCCTCCCTCGAGGAAAGTCATGAGTTTACAAAACTTCCTCCAGTTCCATTCCCTGCCATCTGAACAGTAAAACCCTAAAAGCAGACCGTCAAGAAGTGTAAAGAGGGATCTCAGCATTGCTGCTAGAAGACATGTTGTCACTGTCCACTAAAGTTCTACACCTCCGATCTGAGATTATCTAGTCCTCATGAGATTGCATTTACCGAATAAACTAACTTAGAATAATCAGTACATACAGTGTCTAACCTGGGTTTAAAACACAGTCTATTTTTAAAAATCAGGTGTCTCGGGGCACATGGGCAGCTCAGTGGTTAGCCTCCGACTCTTGATTTCAGCTCAGGTCATGATCGCAGGTGGTGAGACCCAGCCCCAGGTCGGGCTCCACGATTGATGTGAAGCCTGCTTAAGGTGCTCTCTCTCCATCTCTCCCCCTCCCCAAAATCAGGTATTTCAATGCTAACAAAACAAGGTAGTATGTGTAAAATCGTCAGTAGAATTTTAAAGAAAATAAACAACTCCCTTCACAGAAGATTATGGTACATCTGTACCATAGAAAAGGGAGATGCAGAAATGGAACATCGGGCGAACCAGCAGAGACAAACTAAAGCTACAGATAAATTATGTGTTTGCTTTGCCACTTGCCACCCAGGTATCTGAAGTATTAACTCTATCACTACCATTTCATAGATTATGAAGACTGACTTCTGCAAAGTTCTGTGAGTCTCGCCAAATCACTTAAATGAGCTCACAGTGAGCCACCCGTCCCTCAAAGATTACTAATCCTGTTTACACAAAGATTATCACAGTTGTGACAAGAGAAACCAAGCTTCCACACTTTTTTCAAGTCTGAAATTTCTTCTGTCAACGGCAACATTAATAGACTCCTCCAATTACAAATGTGTTAGAAAACGAGCTTCACCTTGCTTCCTCCTTAACTCTGTGTTAACCAGTCATCCTTCCCCAAATTTCTAACTGTAGGTAACCAAAGATCTTTCACCAGTGCTTTCTTCCAAGAGTTTATGGTTATTTTCATAACAAACTGTTATGAAACTTCTAAAGAAAATGGCAAACTTATCATGGTGAGCATTCTATAATGTACATATTTGTGGAATCACTATTCTGCACACTTGAAACTAAATATAACATTGTGGGTCAACCATACGTCATTAAAAAAAAAAGTGTAAAAAAAGAATTCTTTCCGGGAGTAGGGGAGAGTGGAGGGGATGCAGTAACCTCCACCAAATAAGTTTAATCTGTAAAAATTTAAACCACTCCGTTAACTCAGTTAACAGATACTAAAGGAAAAAGGGAAACAGGGCCTAGTTACTTCACCTCTGGGATAATTGATTAGTTCTCCAAATTATGATTAAACTCCCAAATGCCGCACTAGGCGCTGAGCTGCATTTGTCACTCGTGCCACTTTTCCCATTCAGTGGCCTCTGGATCTTGGGAGATGGCAGACCAGAATTCTTGCAAAACCCTAGTTGTGAACTTTACACTGGGAGACTGACACGCAAATGCTGAGATCTCCAACAAGTGAGTGGTTAGCAAAGAGCACCTTCAGGTAGCTTTGCCAGACAAGTGTGAGGTGGAGGACGTGCTGTTTGGCAAAGGCGCTTCAGTCGGCCAAGGGACTGAAGAGCGCAGAAGGCAAAGGGACCCCCCAGCCGGCGGGGGCCTCCGCTCCCGGGAGGGACGTCGCCCAAGCTGCGGCCTCCTGTCTTCATTTTGAAGCACTACAGGGCTCGTCTCTGCTGCTTGCTCTGAAGAGCTATTTTCGCCCACTGCCAAAATCAGCAACAGCAAATTACACTGCAAACAATGGAGAGGGCGCCCGCTCGGCACGGCTGGGAACTCCCGGGCTGCAAGCGCGAAGGCTGACTTTTCGCTCGGGCAGAGCCGGGGCAGCCGCCGCGCGACACCGGGAAGCCGGTCCGCCGCCGCCCCGCGCCCGAAAGCCCGAGGGCTGGGGAGGCGCGGGCAGCACGGGAGGTCGGGAGGGCGAGCGTGCCGTCCCACCCGGGCCGCGGCCGGCGGGGTTCCCTCGCGTCCCGGCACCGCGCGGAGGGCGCTCCCTGGCGGAGGGTGGCGGAGCGCGGGCCGTCGGGGACACCGGGCGCGCGGGTCCGGCAGGCGCGCGGGGAGCCGACGGCGGCGGAGGGCGGGGTCCGGCGGGCCGGGCTCCGCTCGGCCCCCAACCCCGACCCGGGCTCCGGCGCCCCCCATTCCCAGCCCCCGCGGCGCAAACCCGTGGCAGTCGGGGAGGGAGGGAGGCAGGCGGCGAGAGGCGGGGAGCGAGAGTTGGCGAACACCGGAGCCAAAGCACCACCGGCCTCGCCCCTCGGCCCGGCGCCCCACCGCCGCCCCGCCCGCGCCTCTCACCCGGCTCTTGCAGCGGTGGTGCCGGCCCGGGTCGGAGTAGGTCCGGTCCACGGTGAGCGCCGTGTCGCTGCCCGGCATGTCGGCGCTCGCCCCGGCAACTTTCCCGTCTCCTCCGGCCGCCGCGCCGCGCCGCGAGCCGCCGACCGTGCTCAGGCTCGCCCTGAGAGCCGCGGCCGAGGGGGCGGCGCGGGCTGCTGCAGCTGTTGCCGACACCCGCGCTGCTGCCCTGCGCCGCCGCCGCTGGGGGTGGGGGTGGGGACCGGGGTGGGGGAGGCGGGGCAGGGACGCCAGAGTCTCCTCCCCCTTCCCCTCTCCCCGCCTCTCCGTGCCCGCCCCCGAGCCGGGGCCCTAGACCCTGCCCCAGGTTCAACTTCTCTCCCTCGCTCCCTGGCTGAAACTTGAATCCGCACTCTCCCACGCTGGCTTCGTTTTCCTCAAAATTTGACTGACATCTACTCTATTTGTGAGCTTATTTGTATGTTTATGATAAAAGATGGAATTTTGGCAAGATGTTGAGGCTTGCCTTAAATGCTTTCTTTTATGCTATTTTGTTTATTCAACATGCACTTCTTGGGCATCTACTATGGGCCACACCCTGGGGCGGGGACCAGAGTTTTTTTGGGTTTTTTTTGTTTGTTTTAAAGCCCGTGTTTTTCTTAGGATCTTGCTGAGCACAGAGCTCATTTCCATCTAAACAAAGGTCTATGGAGTTATGTATTTTAATTTTGTATATCTGGCTCACTTTTACGTGATTCCTACTTGGAAGTCAATATATATTGTTCTATTTTAGAATTCTCTATTTCCAATGAACAGTCCCTGCCCACAAGTAATCTGGGATCTAGGGGCTCAGTGGGTTGAGCATGTCCGACTGAGGTCAGGATCTCAGGGTTGTGAGATCAAGCCCCCCACTAGGGCTACAGACTAGGTGTGGAGCCTGTTTAGGATTCTCTCCCTTTCCCTCTGCTCCTCCTATCCTCCCCACTCCCACCTCAAAAAAAACCCAAAAAACATTTGTATTCTACAAAACAAAGGGCTGGTGAACGATTAAATATGGTACCTAAGCCAACATTCAGAACACCCTCGTCTGGTTATGAAGGGTGTACTAGTGGGATACTGAGTTAAAATACCGTAGTTAAAAAAAAATACTGTAGTTGCAGCTGCTCCAAAGAGAACTCGAGTTAGAGGGCCAGGTAACAAGCCTAGAAGGAAGGGAGCATATGATTCTCCTCTTCAAAGGGATGGGGGGGTGGGTCTCGCAGGCAGAAGAAAAATACTGAGCATTTAAAACCAAAGGTCAGTTTCCAGTTTCCGAAAACTTCAGGGCGCCAGTTTGGGGGGTGTCTTCAGGAACAGGAGGACACAAGAAGAAAAGTAGGTGGAGACCACGTGCTGCCTGGCTCTGCTTTCCAGAAGAGGGAGTTCAGCCTTATTCTGTGGGTGCTGGGCAGCTCCTGGAGGTTTCTAAATGGGGGAAATGACAATCTGAGGATGGAAGCTGGAGGGCATCTATCTGATAGCCATGTGAAGCACTGATTAAAGATGTGTAAAAGGACACCGGTTAGAGAACCACCTAAATGTCCTTCCGGAGACTGAATAAGTAAAATATAATCCATCCATTCAGTAGATGATTAAGTAACTGTAAGAGAATGAAGCAGCTCTTTATGGCTACGGAGATAGCGCTAACACACATGGTTAAGAGAAAAAAGTCATGTGCAGAGTAACACATACAGTATCCCACCACTGATGTAAAAACAGAATGTATGTATATGTTTGACATATGCATAGCATATTTCTCCGAGAGGATAAACAAGAAATGAGGAAAACAGACAAGAAACTATTGGCAAGAGGGGCCACATACTAGGTGCTTCCATTTATACCTGTCAGGGGATGAACAAATGATTCCCATGAGCAGCCCTCCGGAGCTCAAGCCTGACTCTCGGGGAGGGGAGTCACAGTCTTAAGTGAGCAAGCAGTAAGAGCCATTCCGATAAGGTCAGAGAAAGCCGCTGACCATGCAGAAATTCCCAAGGGATTCCCAGATGCAACTAAAAGTAACATAAAGGAGTGGGTGTCCCCACTGAGTCAAAGAAAAGCTACTGGACTGTAAAGATAGGTGTCTATGTTCATCTAAAAAACATGGGCTCCGCTGAGACTGGGGAAGACTCTGACTGGAGCAGATCCCCACAGACAGACGAATATCAAAGGAGAATAGAACAGTTGCTGCAGGTGCATGGACCAAACTGAACTTGTTCATGTGTTATTGTATTTAAACCTGGGTTGGGGGTGCCTGGCTCACTGAATCAGTAGAGCATGTAACTCTTAATCTTGGGGTTAAGTTTGAGCCCCATGTCAGGTATAGAGAGTAGTTAAAAATAAAATCTTTTAAAAAATTCCTGGGAGGCTCAGTTGGTTAAGCGACTGCCTTTGGCTCAGGTCATGATCCCGGAGTCCCAGAATCGAGTCCCACATCGAGCTCCCTGCTTGGCAAGAGTCTGCTTCTCCTGCTGACCTCTCATTCTCTCTCTCTCTCTCAAATAAATAAAATCTTAAAAAAAAAAAAAAAAAAAAAGAAATGGAATCCACATGCCTGCCTAGGTAGCTAGAAGAAAGGAATGGGAGATTTATTTTTCACTCTATATGCTTTTTAAACTTGAATGCTTTAGTTGTGTGCATATGTTAACTATTCACAAAGTAAAATTAAAAAGTATTTTTAAATAAAGGTAACTTTATTAAAATTTTAGAAGAAATAGAAAACCCCATACAGTTCTAACACCATTCGAAAAATGAAATCAATAGTTTAAAACACCCCTGGACGTGCCCCCACCTTCCCAACCCCCAGGAGAAGACACAACTACACTAGGTCCAGAGAGTTTTTCAGGCAAGTCCTTCCAAAGCAGAAAAGAAAGAGATGGAGTGTGTGTGTGTGTGTGTGTGTGTGTGTGTGTGTGTGTGAGTGAATTTAGCTAGGGTGGCCAGAGAAGGCCTCAAGGATAAGGTGACATATGAACAGCGACCTGAGAATTAAGGGAGCCAGTTATGTAGATAAATGAAAATTTCAGACAGAAGAAACAGCAAGTGCAAAGGCCCTAAAGCAGGAACATTTTGGGAGTGTTCCCCCCAAAAAAGGCAGGGAGGCTGGTATTCACTAGAAAGAGAGTAGATGAAGTCAGAGACATTTCAGAGGTCTGATAATACAGGAAAATTATTTAGGCCATTTTAAGAATTTTGACTTTAATTCTGAGGTACACAAAAAGATTTAGATAACTTTAAACAGAGTAGTAGAGTGACATGCTCTGCCTTTTCACTTGGGGAAAAAAAAAATAATCCCTACCTCACAGCATACACAAAAATCGACACCAGATACATTAAAGATCTGAAGTAGAAAAAGCACAGCTTTTAAAACTACCAGAAGAAAATGGGATAATATCACTATGATCTTAAGTCCTCAGAAGTAAGTCACGAAGAGCATAAACCATAAAGAGGTGACTACATTAAAATTTTTAAACTTTGACTTATGAAAAGAAATAATAATAAAATAAAGATAAGCCACAAACAGAACTCAAGTTGAAAGAATCAGTATGGATGAATTTCACAATTATTAAGAAACAAACAAAAAGAAACCAAGCCGCATGAAAGTACATGAAGATTCCATTTGAGTCAAGTTAAAAAAACATGAAGAATAAATGCCATTTTTATGAGAACAAAGATTTATGGCTGAAACTATTAAGAAGCTCAAGAGCTTGAAAAACAGAAATTTCATGGCAGTATCTCTGGTTGGGGGATGAAGGATTCAAGGGGAGAGAGGTGAGAGATGCTGCACAGGCTGTTTAACAAAGGACTACTGATACACTGGATGCGTATTCATTCACACACACAGACAAGGTTTCCAAATAATTTAAAATTTTATAGGCAACAAAGACTCAAGGGACAGATGTGCTAATGGCATCCTTAATCCTGATGTTTACATCACCAGTTGGGGTATCTGCTCATATAAACAAATATAATAAAAGATTTGTAAGTGTTAAAGCTTAGTATAAGAGCAAGAGAGTCTGTTGCTATTAAGTCATTAAGCCAACTTAATCTTACAAAGATCCATTCTGAAAATCCACCAAAGTCCATCTCTGGGTTCCCCCCAACCATTTATCTGATACCCATTTTTTTCCCCAGCTATTTAAGGCTATAACAAGTGTACTACTCAGGTGTGTTTGTATGTATATGTGTGCGCATGACTTTAGAGAGGCCACACCTAAGCGAAGTCCTTCACAAACCAAAGCTGGGCTTTAGAAGGTGTGTCAGTGCGTCAACGGGTCAATATACTTTCCATTTCTATTCCTGTGTTGGTGTTCTTGGTACTCTGTCCTGGAGACGCTGACCCTCAATGAGAATGATGAATTAAAACTTCATTAGGTTTACCTGAATGTCAATTGGTAGACGATGTCTTTTTTAGGTCATTTATTTCATAAATTAGTAAACCAAAAGCTGCTCTATGGGACATTCATAGAAAATAAGGTTTTTAAAAACACAAATTAAATAGCACAAAAGCAAACCTCTCCCCCGCAAAAAAAGAAAAACAAGCAGAGCTGATCACCATCTGGCTCCTCTGCTAGGAAGGAGGACCCAGGCAGACCCTGTCTCCACTTTTGGAGGCAATGGGTAGGAGTAGTGTCAGTCCCTGAGAGAGAGAGAAAACACAAATGTTTCCTGTCAAGGTAAGAATTGTCTGTTCCTTGGGGCGCCTGGGTGGCTCAGTCAGTCAAGCCTCTGGCTCAGGTCATGATCCCAGGGTCCTGGGATCAGGCCCCACGTGGGGCTCCCTGCTTGGTTGGGGAGCCGGCTTCTCCCTCCGCCTCTGTTGCTTCCCCCCGCTTATGCTGACTTTATTGCTCAAATAAATAAGTAAATAAAATCTTAAAAAAAAAAAAAAAAGGAATTGTCTATGCCTCTGATACCTCCCCCAAATCGCTCTGTGCCAAAAAGAAAAGAAACAAAAAGAAAAAAAAAAATCACACTTTAAAAGTCACAAAAGCAGGCATATCAATAAGGAATGCAAAGGTACAAAATCTAGGTTGTAAAACAAGAATTTACTTCCAGAGCATAAGCAGCCCGGTAAGCAGCACAGGCTAATAAGCACCAAAGAAGTAG